ATGAGACTTTCATTTTTTTTGTTTTACTTTTTTTTTACACTTAACTTTATTGCTATCACATAGGGGGCTAACAAGCTGATTAAGCAGAGGTCTGCTTCACCAGCTTCTTCTCTGGCTAGCAGCCAGAGAAATTACATCTAAAGGCGGAAGTGATGTAATACACATCACGTCTGCCTTTAAAGAGAGAGGAGGAGAGAACAGCGGTGGGAGAACGCTGATCTCTGCTCCTTCTCAGTACAGACAGCTGCTGTATGGGTCCTGGGCCCACAGGGGGGTCAGCGGAGCTCTGGATACCCGGCAGCGGCGGTGGAGGAGGGCGGGAGCGTGCTAGTAGAGGGGGGGCACTGTACGTTATAATACAAGCTATCGGCCAGCTGTGGAGTGCGCGAGCAGAAAAAAAATTACATACAGGTACGTTCGCCCACCAGTCAAATCTTTTAGTTCTGGATAGAGTGGAGAGGGATGTGTCCCCATTATGGAGATTGACTTTCTTTATTCAAAGTGGTCACCCTAGGCTGCTTGCTATAAAACACCTCCTCTCTTCATGTCCATATCATAATGGGGTTGTGGGTGTTCTGTAGTCCACTAGGCAGAGCTGAAAATATATCATTTATTTAATATCAAATGCAATGCCCTAAAACAAAAACCAATCTACCATTCCCTTCATAAAATACAGTGAAAGTTCTTACATCCCCACAAACCAATTAGATAGTTGATAAAATACAAAAATTAATATAGCAATAAATATCGTAAAAATGCACACCATGAATAAATATCTCCCCTCCAGTAATACATATAACATGAAGTTTACCAATGTGCTCGAAAAAATATTATAGATATTATAAATAAAGTCAAGTTCGTGAAACAAGTCCAATACTGAATATCAGGTATTCATGCAAATACAGGCTTCAAACATCAAAAAAGTGCTATAAGTGCAATCCAAATCCGTGCTTCAAACAGCAGCAAAGTGCTTTAAGTGCAATCCACTCCACTCCCCTCTGCGTATATCACACAGAACTCACCAGAACAGATGGACCACAGACAATGAATGGCCAAAATCACGTTGATAACAGCAATGCTCCCTTATATCACTCCCTGTTGCTCAGTAATCTCATTTGTATACAGTTCCTTCCCTTCGATGTGTGAATGAATTGAATTAGATCGCTCCCTTATTTCTCATAAGTAGTCTCCTATAGCAATAGAACTCAAGAGAGATACAACAGAAAGCTCCATAGAGTAAAATGTACAGTAACACTTTTTAAAAAACAATTAAAACAGTTGCTTACAAGGTACACAATTGCAGCAAATACAGCTCTCACAATCCGCAATAGTAACGGAGTATTCTACACTCTTTGGATGAGTGATGATGTCAGAGTGTACACACCTACCCGATACATTTTGTCATAGACTTTTTCAAGAGACAGCATACACGCTGAATTCTACCCACCATCCCAGCTGACAATATAACCAGAGATATCACTGTAGCCTGTGCAGGAACCTACAAGCTCCCTGGATTTCTAGAATAATGAACAGGTATTTTTTTTAAACAGATATTACAAAATGCTTTTAATGCTATACATAGCGAACCAAGAAGGGGTAAATAAGAGAAATTCATTTTTACCTAAATATATATCAGTCTCATTTAACTGACTGTGGGTTTTGTCACTAAATTAAGTCATTTTTGTTAGATACAGAAAAGGGTCGGTGGTAATATAAAAAAAAGACTTTTAAATATTGCCACAGTTCCCACATTATTGCTTTAGGTGACTTCAAGTTCCTTTAAGCCCCATTTACACTGTCCGTGCATGTGTGCACTGGCGCATGTCCACACAATGAGCGAAAACATGTGATGTGCTTGTGGCGCCATTACTTGTTAGTAGCACCACAAACATGGCAGGCAAAATGCGCTTCTTTTGTGGTATGGATTTGCTGGCAAACTGTAGTACATGACAGGGTCTCCTAAATAAAAAACCTCCGTAATTCCTAGTACGGGGTTAGTTTGATTGTTGTTGATCCATTGGAAAAAAGGCTATTATACATACGTACTGCTCACCTATATATAGTTAGAGTACAGGAAAACACACTGGAACATTTATTATTTGGTTGCATCATCAGCACTTTTTAAACTGTCACATCTTTCTCAACCTTTTTTCAGTCAGGGCACCCTTTAAAAATATGCAGAAAACACCCCAATCTAAAATGTAATTATCAGGCCCCACAGCTGTGGCAGCATAGCATAGGGCAGGAGGTGGATCAGATCTGGACCGAGGTGAACCTATGTTCTTTTCTAAATGGTTCCTAACCTCCCTGGATTTGTTCATTCCTTTCCATGGTGCTGGTGTCCTTCCTGCACCATGGAAAGACATATGAACACAATTACTGTGCAGTTGAGAAATTATGCAAAATGTTGCAATACATGAGTGAGTCGCAAACATAAATATGTTTCAAGAACACTTTAAGCCCTTCATGACTGAGCTTGTTTTTAGTTTCTGTTCGTAAATGACTGACACACTTTTGACATTTTTGCTGTGTGATTCTTCCACGTTAGTAATATACTTTCTTACAAAGTGCACCCACACATATTATAGATTGTTTTTTAGAGGACAGATAGGGCTACATATTTATATCACATATGTGTGTCTAACGCCTCACTTAGGACAAATAAAATATAAAAAAAAGAGGAAAAAAACGTTAAAAAAACACTTTTTTCCCCAGTTTTGATTTGTAGTATTTTTTTTACAAAACCAGCACAGCTACAAAAAATGCAATAAATACATTCATTAATTTGTCCCTTATTTTATTTTCTTTTTTACACATTTTTTTTTTACACTTTTCACAATTATTATTTTTTTTTTACACTTTTCACTTTTTTTTAAACTTAAAAATGTTATTTTATTTATTTAATTATATCAAGCAGTCATTGTGAATTAATCTCACTGTTACTGCTTGATAAATTAATAAATTTTTGGTTATTATCAGGCTGCTTCAAACTTCAGAACAGCCGATAATAAGTTAGTGACACTGATCCTGCAGCAGTTCAGGATTCAGCTGT